GGGGGGGGGGGGCCCGTCCATTATTCGGGCCGCCACCTTAGCAGACAAAATGCAGGCTTCAACCCAAACCCATTCCCCGATCTCAACCCTTTTGCAATGCCTTGGGCCCCCTTAGCTTTAAACCAGGAAGCAGCGCCAAAAGAGGCCGGTAGTCCGGCCATTGCGGCTGCCCACTCGTCGAAAAGCNNGCATGGAAAGGCGACAACTCCAAGAAAACAACGCTCAAAAAGCAGCACGAACATCTCACCATGCATATCCCCACGTGCATGGATGCCTTCATGCATATACACAGGTGCATACCATGCCAGACCATCCCTTCCAATGCCATGCCATTACATTACATTGCACAGCACTACGCTGCTCGACAGCACAAGACATTACATGACACTACAGCACATTGCACTAAATTGCTTATATACAACTACGCGATGTACGCTACACTACACTACGTTACATGGCTTAGGCTACATAGATTACATCCTGCAACCCATATATTTTCTGGCACAATACTTCACAAAGCATATTATATATATATATATGTACGTTGATTGATGTGTGTGTGTATTATGGAATAAATGTAGCTTAAACAGTTAATTATACCGGTTACATGTAACATTTGTGACCGCTTTTGTTCTGGTTTGGGTAGCTAGGTTTCGGAGCCGACTAGCTGCTTCAGCCTGCAGACTGCTGGATGCGGCAAGTTGCGAATGCAATCGCTCGACAGGTTTTCGCTGAAGAGTATGGCATCCAGAATATCGAACCAGGCTCCCTTGCTGAAAGATTTCGTCCCCAGGCCAGACACCAGGTAGCCATGCCGAAGGACCCAGCCAATCAACAACACCACCGCCCACTTCAGGGTTGTAAAAACAAGGTTGGCTTGGCAGCTTTGGCCAAAGACAGTCATTCGCGGCCGGCCCATCGTGATGGTCTCCGTGATGCAGCATGGGGTGCTTCCGACGAGAACATGTGAAACACAACGTCCGAGCGTATGGCTTTCGTTGGCATAGAACGGCAATTCGCATACCGTATCCAATTTCAGGTCGCAGGCTTCGTACCTCCATTCATTTCTAATCCTTGGGAGAGAAGTCTGCGCCGACAGAAACCTGGTGACTACAAGAGTTTCAATCCGGAAAGCTCTCGACAGGAACAGGCAGCACGAAGCTAGCTCCTCAATTTCTACATGGACTCACCCAATTCCGGAACAAAGCTACTGCGGCCATCTACAGAGGATTGTTGGAGCATATTACATCACCTTCTATAAATGTACATGCACATACCGGGCTGCATTATGTACCTACACCTGCACAATTCATGAGAGCTTCGCGCTGAAACTGGCAGGCTCGAAACTGCGCCACACTTCATCTTAAGACGTGCCGGGGCTCAAGCACTCGGTGAAAGCCGGGCCATGCTCGCGGGTGACGTAAACCGGCACCGCGTCAATCTTCAAGTTCACCTTCACAATCTCGGTCAGAGTCGTGCGATAGCTGCAGCAGTAGAAACAGCAACAAGATTAAGGACATCCAGTCGAAAAACAACCAACTCCATGATGAGAGCGAGGCGACAGCCACAAGGACTGCAACCTTCTGCTGCTGTACTGGCTGACAACAAGCCGACTAACGGATTAACGGTCTGGCTCCACCTCCGACTCCCAAGCCCTTCCAAGCTGAGTCGTCAGAGTCCGTCAGTTGTAGGCTCACTCTGTTTTCTCTCGCCCTGTCAGAAGTGAGACGAAGGCCTCGGCCAGGCTTGCATTACCTAGCAGGGCCTAGCATTGCAGCATTTCATGGGCGTCTTACTCGGAGAACATACCATGAATCAGATCAGCACGGAAAGCTACCACATGAGGTTGGTCTTCCCTACCTTGTGCGACTTTTCCACAGGACTGGCTGCATCGTACTCGATGTAGTAGGCCGTCCTCACAATTCCGGTCTGGTACGTTGCAATAAAACGCGAAATGCCACGGCACACAGCCGTGACCGTACAAAAGCAAGCCAGCCAAGTGACAGAAGTATCGACCAGTGCACTGTGCCAAAGATCATGAACAGCACAGCAGAGAGCCGCCTGTCTTGCTAGACGAGAAGGTTGAAAGATCAAAGAACAACCTTCACATCTCGTCAGCTCTTCTCTGCAGGCATGGTGGCTTATGTGCTGGAATCTGTATGTGGCAGGGGGACGCCAGCAATTATTCGACAATGAATTAAAAAGCCAACAAGAACCGGGGAATGATGCTGATTTCTGGGTGGTTGTGGCTGAGGCTGCACACCGGCAGAACAAGCATGCCATTCACTCAAACGGTCCCCTTCGGAGATGAATACCCTCTCGAATCTTGAAGTGGCAACGACCAGTCACAGAAGGGCCGCAAAGACTCAAACCAGAGAATCTGCAATACGTAAAATTTTGTATACATAACCATCTTCGAACATGCCTGAAAACCTCGCAATTGGCCGTCTACGACAAATCCACCCGTGCCGAAAGCCTCACATGAAAGGAGGGGAGGGGAACAACGACGACAGTATTCACAGACCAAGACTTTTTGCGCTCGAACAGGTAGGCATCGGGTCGCCGTGCCGAGACCACTCAACAGGATGATGTGACAGGATGCTTTACGTGTGAACTGCGCATGCTCGTCGCGCCCTCTGCGGCGTCTGAGGATTTCGATGTGCGACCAAGCAAGGCAGAGCAGACGCCTCGGGGTGAATCTTGCAGGCGTTATCCGACGACACATGCACGGCCAAGGCTGGAGGAAAACATCTGCAGTTTGAGGGATCGTGCGTTGCCAAGCCACCCAGCAGCTGCCACGAGAAACACAAGCCAGATCAGCATTAGGAAGTCCTCGGCTAAAGTTGCAAGCTGGATCGTTCATGTTTCTGTCGCCCATCAACGCAATTGCTTGAAATTGTGTATCGGGGTCTCAAGGGCCATCTTAGATGTTTCATTGCGAGGCGCGCAAAGGCTCAGTTAGGCGTCTGCGGCGCGAACAGTAACAGGAGCGTCGATTCGCTCCACAGATTCGTTCTTGCAACAACTGGACAAAGACAAAGCAGTCCACACATTCTGTGAAGGACGAATTTCCCGATCCCTCAAAAGCGTCCTCCTCCGGCGCGATGAAGAAGCTTTCCATCGGGGAAGTATGTTGGTCGTCCTCCATTGCAATGCCGCTCGAAGGGGTTCTATGCCGACTACGACGACTTGTACGACAGACATCGCACTCCGCTCTTCCCTGGGCCGGTTGCTCTCGGAATATTCACGTCTCTCTGCGCGATCCATGCCATGAAACCGGCCTCGATGATGAAACGAGTCATCAGGAAGCAGAAGAGCGCTTCCACGCAAAGGGCCACGAAGAGCGGCACATGGGTGGCCTTCAACCTGCCCGGATTGTAGCACTCTGCAAGGATCCCGTGCAGTTTATCAATGCCTTGATGACTTCTTCTTCTTGTTATTATTACTACTACTATTGTTATTATACTCTCCAAAGCAAAGCTTTTTCTACCTTGCTTTTAGCCTTTTACTGACTTTGGCTCTGATCTGCGCTGACCCCACGCACTGGCTCTATGTCTACTTCTGTGTCTACTAAGGACTCGAAGAAGGCGGCTCCCTGTAGTGAAAGCAGGTTGGCCGGCGCCTGCTTCAGCTTGTCGGGCTGAGGTCCATACTTGGCAATATCATGCTGCAGGAATCTGTTCCGCAGAACCAGCGAGCCTACTCCACACATCCCCCGAACCTCCGTCAGACTCCGTCAATGAGGATGACAATTATCGTTTGGGCCCCCGCGCCTGTGGGCTTCATCCATCTCTGGCGAGTCATCCGACTCACTGTCCATAAACATGGCTGGACAAGGCAGCAAGGTCTTTGATCAGGCAAGGTCCGCAGCAGACAAACGAACTTCATCATCAAGGTAAGTGCGCCACTCTGTTGCAAACTTAGCTGCTACATCAACAAACTTCTACTCTACTCTTCTATCAACGCCACAAGTCGCCTGAACAATCCCTACCCTTCGTCCATCCACTTTAGGCCCAGGTCTGTTCCCTGAGCCGCAACGGCACCGGGTGAAGGCTTCTGACTCCTAACCTTACCACCTTTTAAGAGGGGGTTTCTGAAACAACTTGGAAAATCTTGGAAAGGTCTACAGGACAAGGCACTGCTTGGAGCGAGTGGTCTACTTCGAGGTTTCCCAGAGTCGACGAGTATGTACAAGCTTCGGGGCTTAGCTTGGGCCGAGCCACACTGTGCAAAAAGTGCTCCGTCCATCGATACCTGAATTGCCTGATCAGGGGGCGGAAAGCATACCCAGACCTATGCTGATTGACGCCAACTGCTCGGACACGGGGAGACAGAGGAGAAGTGTGCCGATCTCAAAGTCCGCTGCGCAATACTCACCTTACATCCAACACCCGCAAGCCCATGGATCTCAAACTGCTGCAGCTTGTTTGCTCCCGGTAGGTGAAGTTAAAGTCTTCGAAGGAGCGCAGCTCTGGCGCGATCACCTCAATGGCGGATACGCGCACGTACTCTTGCAACTAAGAGATCTTGTCTGATTTCTCTCGATTGAACGTCGTTGTTGCTTGGCGAGGTTGCCTCAGTCACTCCGACACACTGCTCTAGCCAGTTGCAATCCCGGCGCAGACACGCGTACTTTGTTGTAGCCCTTGAGTCCAAGTCCCTGGCCAGACGAGCAAGACTGTTTCAGGGTCTGCCGACTGTCAGCAGAACATGGCGACTCATATTGATCCCACAAGTCACTGGCGCCTTGGACACACGGAGATCCAGAGCCTGCGTGCAAAGAGCTGCAAGTGTCTACTTCAGCGATGGTGAGGAGACAGACTCGCTGGTGAAATTATGATTGCTTTCGGTTGCCAAGCGTGCGAGGATTGTTTCATAACAGGGAATCAAGTGAGGCCCCCCGACGGATTTTACCTATGGTAGCCCGCCCTCCCTAACCGGAACCCCTACCGGGCCGGAAGCCTAGAAAATCATCCGGCTGAGGTTTGCCCTCTTTTTAAATTCTAGGCTCACGGATCTTACACCGAGGAGGGTGGCTTTTGCCAGGATCTTACCCCGAGGTGGGTGGCTTTTGCCAGGCCTCAGTGTTCAGGCGCCGCCCCGAGGACCAAAGCTGTTCCTGCAGTCTCGCCAAATATCTTCATAGGCTTTTCGCCGTGCATGCCCTCTCCTCCTTCTCCTTTACTACGACGACGACGACTACTGCTGCTGCTGCTACTGCTGCTACTACCACTATACTACTGCCACTACGACGACGACGATGACGACGACCACTACTACTACCACCAGTACTGCTACAGTAATAACCTAAATACATAACTTTCACCTAGAAATAAACTCTCGTGGCACCATAGCGGAACTTTCGCGAAGGCATACACGGCTATGCAGTTGGCCTTTCATATAGACTATGGCTATAAACTATGGCTCAAGGAGCTTGTGACCAACTACCATATATATATATACATACATACATACATACATACATACATCTTCTTCCGGACGCAGCGAACGAGTCGTCGCCTAGCTAGTCAAGGCAGAACCTTCGGTTCCGGCACCTCTTGGGTGCGCACATTTGTGCCCCCCCAGCAACACTGCAGCTACGAGTAGCAGTACAGCGAAGCATTCAGAACCTCAATCCACGAGTTTCACAGGATAAAAGTTGAAGCGCGACGATGTCAACATTGGTAAGTGGAGCACAGTATGACAGTCGCGGGATGTCTACTCGGACACCTCAGTGCAGATGAGAACATATACAGAGGCACTCACACTGTGCAGAGATGCAGAGGGCTGCAATGTGGCGCACATGTTATCCTCCGTGACATGCCAAATGTTTTCACCGTTCCGCAAAATGCTGCGATAGTGTCCCCTGGGAGCAGCCTCACCTGTATGCAAAAGCGCCGCGCGTACCTGATAT